GCACACAACTTAATAAAGCAAAAGCCATTGATCCACTCCAACCCCAAAAGCTCCTGGGGAAAAYTGCACCCTAATATTAAAAATAAGAGCACTCCCCAGGGCTAAAAACACCAAAGCCAGGAGCATGGGAAGGGAGGGAGGTAAACCGTGACGATAGCGAAATTAAACCCGGCGTTATCAACCTTAAGGATAATAGCTGTTTACATGGACAAAAGGACAAGATTARAAGGGAGTTGGCAGGTCGATCCGAGCGCGGCACCCGAGCGGCACCGACGCTGCAGTTGAGGTCACGGAAGTTTCTTCGATTTTCTGTTCTATTTTCTTTATTTTCTTTGTCTTGTCACACCTTGAAATGTTCAATGGCCTTAAAAGCACYGTGGGCACCTTGCCCAGGCCTCCTGGCTCGCCCAACACAACGTGCCCTCCCGCCACTTCTGATGACTTGATTTCACCAGTGGTCTCCCCAAACTCAAGGTGGGAAAGGAATAAGGAATAAGAAGTATCCTCCTTTTAGCACCATCCAAAACGCAGCACTGCTCCCTGCCTTTTCCTCCCAGCGAGGTCTGGCAAACACAAATACCTCTGTTCATCCATCAGTTTTCCTCCTTTGGCACAACAGCATATGCATAAGCCTGAGACTAACGTTGCACCTTGTTTTGCAGAATCAGAGGAAACCATTTAATGCCACAGCACCAGCTGAGCCCAATGCAATGCACTCAAGGTATCCAGTCGGACAAAATTGGCTCCTTCCATTTACAGGAAAGCCAACCAAAATAAGCACCAAATAAACAGCAATATTCATACACATCTGCATTCTCACTCTTAGGAAAGGCAACTTCTTTTTTCTCAAGGTAAATGCCAGAAACTACCCCAAAACTACACATTTCTACATACTCAAAACACCACTTACCTTGCAGGACAGCCCCAGAAAGCTGTAAATAGCTGAACCAAAAGGATTTGAATTAAGCACATAGTTTTTACCACGGTTTCCTCAGCAATTCCACCACCACCCACAGAACAATTTTAACACCCTAGTTCTGTGGCTCAGCTGGGGCTGTAGGGCACTTGCAGGCGCTACAGCCTCACCAGGAGTCTTCGAGGAGACAGATCAGGAGAAAAGCAGGAAATACAGGATTTCCTGCAGAAATATGAACAGCAATACACACCTGGGACTTTGGCAAGGCCTGGGCAAGTTTCATTTTATCAGCCCACCTGGTTTACAGAGCAACCCTGAGTAGTAAAACAGAGGACTGGGCCACGTGCTATTGCAGGAACCAAGCGGGGACTGTAGGCTCAAAAACACCTCTGCAAAGGGGCTTTTCACCTAATCCAGCCCACAGTGACATTTTGCTGTCCCAGATGTTATAATAGCACTTTACGTCTATAAAAGACCCTCCAACTGCAGTTTTGGGGATTTCTTTTTTCGTCACCATTTCTGGGTTTGGGTTGCTGATGCAACCCAACATCAGCCACCTTGCAATGGAGCCATGACTCGGCCCTCACTTCACCCCACACGTGCTAAACCAGAACGACTCCAGCCCAAAGTGCTGAASTGCTTTTCCAAAGGACCATTGCTATGGAAAAGGGCAGGTCAGGAACACAACCCCTCTGCAAGGTGCCACCCCCAGGGCCATGGAACACGCAACGCGTTGGTCAAATGGACAGAGCCACGTGGTTTTGGCTAAACATATCCAAGYTTTGCCAAGCAGGGGCAATATTCCAGCCCAATTCCCATCTGAGGATAAGGAGCAAGTCTGGGGGAGATCATTGGCATCCACTGAGGCCAACAATGAGTTCTATGCATCTTTCCAGAGCAATCTCATTTCAGAGCCTACCGGGTACAGAAATGACCCACAGTCATGCTTGATAGGTAAAACCTTCAGCAGAACGTCCACTGCCTTTCAAAACACATTAAAAACAACCTCACAGCAAAAGAAGCAGTTAATCGCTCTTCAAAAAAAGCAAGATACATTCACATGCCTTCTGACTTCTCTCCAGTGTTGCTAAATCCACAGGAACTCTGCTTACTGCAGCCCGGCCACAGAAAGAAAGTGTTTATCTTGCACCAGGGGCTAGCTCTTTTCTYCTGCTCTCTGCAAACGGCTCTTTCCTGCCTCACAACATCGTGCTCTCCCGCGCAGCACGAGCCCGGGCGCCGCTTCCCGAACCCAGCGCGCCTGCCCGCCGCTTTTGCACATGTGTAAACCTCTGTTTGCAACAACAGCTCCGCACAAACCCTAACTGGTACAACCTGGGCTCCTGCCTGGGCCCCTTCTCAAACCTGCGCGGCATTCCCAGGGCTCTACAGAGAGATCCACAGAGCCTCCCAACTAATTGAATTTTAATGAGGGGAAGTTGTTTTTCCACTGGAAAAATGTTGTGCTACAGAAATATTTTGAAACTTCTCTAACTTTCCCCGTCAGAGTTTTTTAAGAGTATGRGCAAGGAAGTCACCCCTTGTGTGAAACTGCTGCTTTGCTTGTGACCCAGATAGACCGAGAGTTTAAATAACTTGAGTTTTCCAAACAAAAAAAAACAGGTTTTATTTGGTTTCGGTCCTGATAGGTTCAGAGAAGGAGAATGCGAATCCCCATAACTTAGAGCTCTTACTGATTCTTGTTGAAAAAAGGACTAGGCCTCCACTCCAAGGCCTTCCACCTCACTCCAGGTTAACTTGGTTATTTTAGGTTCTAGCAATAGGAACAGATATAACATCCAGACACTGGACATGAGGATTTCTTTCTGGGTCCACTCCATGGGGACAACTCCAGAAAACCTGGAGAACATCTCAGCAACCTTAGGAGTTCAAGATAGTTGCCCATGGGACAGCAGCGGCTTCATCTCATTGTGGTTGGAATCCAAAACCCAGAAATTAGCAGCTTTCTAGGCATTCATACCACCCTGGGCTATTTACATCCCTTTCCCATTTTTCCAGGCTCAGATTTTATTCATAGTTTCTGCTTGRACTTGCAGAGTGCAGAGAAAAGGAAGAAGCACCCACAAGAAATTAGGCTGCTGAGATAGGAATCGGGAGATCAGGTTACAGCTGCCTTCAGGAAGTCTATTAATCACGTTCAGTTTAAAGCTTGGGCATGTGAACGTGCTGAAAACATGGATGGAGAAGACAAGAGAGGAAAGGACAAAGATGCTGGAGAAGCTGTTTAACATATGTACTAATATTGTACAAGACAAGAGCAAAAACACGCAAACTGCCCAATATGCCAAGTTTCTCTGGAAGCATCTGCAACAAGCTGGTAGTTGTCTCATGCTTGGAGTTGACCAGAGGGCAAAGGTCTCCAGCGAAGAGGAACAGCAGCTGCTTTACACTGTCTCCCAAGAGCCACATTTCACAAGTCCTGTCAACTTGCATGCCAGGAAGATCATTTTCAGCATGGGGGTTGGTGTCCAATCTCCTAGGAAGGCTTAAGAGGAGAGGTGGGATCATCTTGACATGCCTAAGTGCATGTGTTGCCCTGTCTGGAAGAGGGTCTGTTAGCCTTTAAAAGCCTGTAAAGGAAGATCTCAAGCTTTAGGAGCAGTTTTTGCACCTACATGAGCACAGCTCTGTACACTCTGCAGCCTTCAGAAAAAAGCAGGTATCACTACAGCCTCATTAGCAGCAAGACAAGTCTMCAAACTGCATCTTCCTTAGCCTGTTTGGATGCAATAGTGACTTCTTTTAGAGCATCTACTAGATCTTTGGGTCCAGTGGCCTTCCAGAAAAGCTGACCACCTTACATAACAGCTCTGCTTACAGTATCACACCCAGTGCAATGGCAGAAATTCTTGGCAGAAGGTCCAATACTTGTGAAAGACGCACCAGTGCCCCCTTAAACCCAGCTTTTACTTTCCATTCTAATGGCTGAACTTTCCAGGGACTGTCTATTAATTCAATGCAGTTTAAGAGATGCTGCTCGGACTCCTTAACTAGGATTTTGGCAGCCACGTTCAGTCAGTGCGTTCTTGCTGTGCTTACAGCAGACCAGCTCCCAGATGTTGGTAATGTTAAACAGACTGGAACTTGCCTTCCAAGTGACAGATAGTGCAATGCAGATRAGAGCTGGCTTCGCTATGACTAATTATTCCCCACTGTCATAAGATGCTCCCCATTCCTTTGCTGTATTTGCCTGCTAAACCCAGGAGCAAACATCCCTTCCTTCCAAGCAAACATGACATAAGGAGATACAGAAGTCAATAAATCTTAGTTTACACTCCTCTGCACTCTGATTTCAGTTCTTTTAGTTTTCAAGATCAAGGTCAATATTTTTGCACAAGAACCTCAGAAATGCAGCAAAACTGAGACTGCCAGTCTCAGTCAAATTCATACATCAAATGCTAGTCAAATTCATATATCAAGCGAACCGCTATGCTACAGGAAGAACTTCTGCTATATTCCTTCCTCCTCTATAGTCTTGCATCTCTGCTCAAAAGAAGAGCTCACAGAAATATTCTGCCCATCAAGATTTTGGGTTGCTTTTAAAAAGGAGACTGCTCTTACACCAAAGGGCAGGAAACCAATAATCAGTGTCCAACACATGCGGAAAGAACAAATTCTTACAGGCCTCCGTGAACTGTGATTTGCAAGGGAGCCGCTTTCCCTCAGCCTCTGTTAACTGCCCCTGAAATACAACCTAAATCACAGTGCAGGGATGAATGAAATCCTGCTGCATCCAAGGGTGGAGCCCTTCCCACACTGAACAAGCCAAGAGACTGCAAGCTACAGACATCCAAAGTCCTGGCACGGCAGCTCGTCTAGAACAACAAGGGCATGAAACCAAAGCGAACCAGGAGAGCTCCTTCCAGCACATGCTCTGGCTTACTGTTTTGATGGCTATTACAGAAAGCATTCACCTAGCTAAAACAAATTCTGACAAAAATCTCACAATTCTACTACACAAACACCCAGGAAATGTCTCAAAAACAAGCTAACAACTTAGCAAAGCAGCAGCCAGCTCATCATCTCTGTGGAACCTCTCCAGCTCCATGGTGCCATGCCTTACCTCGAAGACTTCCTCATCCAGTATCCTTGTCCCAAACACAATGATGCCATTGACGTCAATGATGGGGTGGTCGCTTCGGTCCAAGAATTTGGTTATCTTCTTTTTACAGTCCAAAATTAAGGTGACGTTTTTCTTTTGCACACTGATGGCTACTCTGTGCCACCTGGAAGAACATAGTCCCCACAGAGGAGTTAAACGGAGCTTTGGGCATTCAAGAACAAGCCAGCTTTATAACAGTGACTCATAAAATAAYGTTCCTGCAAAACTTGACACCAGTCATCATCAAAAGGATGAAAGTCATCCTTGGGCTGACCCAAAATGTGCTATTTGAAATGGAAATTACTAGCTATATTGACAAAGAATGCCACTTTGTGGCATCTGTCCCTCCAGAAGAGATAAGGGGGTATGTTCCTAAGAGGAAGTACATGAAAATCTGTCAAGGTTACTCCCTAATTATCCCTCTTTTTCACTCTCCTTATGTCTGGCAAAGTATTTAACTGGACACGGTACGGCATGCTGATTTATCTAGGTCCTTTGTAACAAAATTCAGTTYTCCTGTCCCCCATAAATTTCAAATAACCTGAACTGATTCTTCAGATTCACCTTTTTTATATCTGCAGTATTATCCGGGAAAGTAAAAAGTTYAAGAATGGAAGACTTGGCAGTGATAAATGGCACGTACATACATTAATGCATAATYCCTATTTTGCACACAATATTCAACATATGCTGGTATCAGTATAAACAGTGTATTTTTTTCCCCCTTTGTGCATAAAATTTCACTTACTTGCCATCTGCTAGGTTAATGCCTCTAAAGAGAGGATAGTCTTCTGGGCCTGGCTTTCCTGTATGGTCTTCATACAGGAATACAGGAGATCTACCCATCTCCACACCAATTTGCTGGATCCCTTGCTCATTGTAAATTGAGATCAAGAAGGACTGACCTCCTTTCTTTGCTTTTACAGTGGTTAAAATGGAGAAGTCCTCTGGGAATGGGGAAGCTGGAGCGAAAAAGCAAAGGGGTTAGTCAGGTCATTTCACAAACATTTGTCTAATGAACAGCCCTCTTGCCTAATTGCCCACAGGGAGACCACTAGCAACTATTTATCCCTATGGCTATGTGCACATCAGCAATGGCAAGTTGGAATTGAGAAGCATTTTGGCTGCCACCCGAACACCTGAGGTTCCCCCCCAAAGCCTACTGTGCTACGAGGTTGTGATGTGATCAGCCCAAAGCACGTTGCACTAGCAAAGCCGCTGAAAGGCAGCGTGTCCCAAAGGTTACCTGCTCTAACAGCACCTTAATTATCAGAAAGTGGTTTTTTTCAAGGTTGTTGCAATCTGTYATAGAGGCAACAGCACGTCCAAGAGGGCTATTGTTTTGGGATGAAAGAGCAGAGGTCCTGAAAAAAGTAGATTTTTTTTTTTTTTTTTGAACCGAATACCCTTTCCTTGGTGCATCCTGGCACTATTTAGGAGACAGCAAAAAAACTTTCTCTATTTCGTGCCTCATAAGGTCTCCAAATTGACTTAATTTCTTCTGTTCCTCTGACACTTTTAAGCATCCTGTGCCAGTTCAATGTGCACAATATGGAAGGGGTTTAAGGGAATGGGGAGTTTGTTTTACACCAGAACAGAACATTCTGTGGCTGTCTCACTGAGCTAGTTCAAAAAAATTGAAAGCAGAAATAAATCTGGCAATCGGGAGGAGGCATGAGTTTGTCTACACATTTTAAAGCAGTTAGGAAAACCTCTCCTAGTCAATAAGGAGACATCGGAGGTTGTCTACTCTTTCAAAGGAAGCAACCTTTACTGAGCTCAGGTGATTCCCACGGGTATTTTTGCAAGGTTTGAGGGATTAAGGCAGTACTGAGTGTACACAGGGAGTGTACAGCCAATGCTGTCCTCAAGGGAAGCATCTATTCCTTCCAAGTCCAGATCAACCCACCTGAAGTTTCAAGTCAACATGGACATTACCAAGTCGTATGGACTCTACATGGGAGCTCCTCATTTAATATTTTCCATGCTATTCTAGCAGAAGCAACAGAGATTGGGAAGATGGGCCCCAAATGAAGTCTGCATGAATACCCCCAAAACAGGAGGTCTTTAAAAACACCAAAGTGCTACTAAAGGAGTTTGATGGAATTATTGGAGATGAGCCCTACACAGCATAACCTCTTCAAATGCTGCATTTCAGCAGCGGGACTCGCAGGGCATCTTTCCTTTAAGGTTCAGGCTTTCAAAACAAAAGTTGCATTGTGCCCCCGGGTATCTAGTTGGGAAATCTTAAACCTCGGCACAGCAAAGTGGGGCAGTGCCGTGGCGGGCAGCACGATGGGACGCTACGTGTGTGGCATGTCGGCGTGCGGGGCAGGGCGCAGCACAATGGAGCGTTCTTCAACTGCGCATTTGTAGCCGTATAAACCACAAAAATGTCAAGCTCTGTGCCCAGCAGCTTCAAATAGATTTCCTGCTCCCCTTTAGGCTTTGCTTACATGGTGTCCTGGGGCTGCCTAAGGGGTTTTGACCCAGGGAGGGGACAGGGAATTCTTCCGACCGCAGCAAAGCTCTGAAGTTCAAAGGCAAGAGGCCACAAAATCGCCCTCTCCGCTCCTGTCTGGGAGCTTCCTGCAGCTTTTATTCATCGCTGTGCCTATTTTGCATGCATTTAGCTGCTAGCTTTAATTGAAAGCCATGTCAGAAAGGGCATGTTTACAAACAGATATCAGTAACACTGTCCCACATTGGGGAAAACACTGGGGCACTGCAAGGCACGTGAGGATGGCTAGAGACACACGGCATTTACCCCAACTTAACATTCCCTGCTTCAACAGCACTGGGATCAAAGTATTTAGCATTATTCTGAATGGAGGACTTGCAGACAGTAATTAAATACTGGATTAGAGGCCAATTCCCCYCAGATACAGACCCAGATATCTGATGAAGGAAGACGTGATTATTGTATGCCCCTATAAGATGAACTAAGCTTTATCTCCCTCCTGCTCGACACAAATTCTCCCGTAGCTCTGAATCAAGACCATACGCCTTCCTGGTTCCAATTACAGGCTACGGTTTTGGGCCTTTTATGTAAAATAGTTCACGTCCAAAATTWCATTATGAATCCACAATACAGTACCTTTCAACTTGGACAAGCTGCCAACTCATTAAAAAGCTGCTTTTAATTTTTTTTTTTTCTCATTATTATTAAAATGTCTCCATGGCGATGCAAGTTTCTCAACCCAAATAACCATAATGGATGAATTATAGCTGACATTACTCTGTTATTGCTCTGCTGTCCTGGCAAAATAACAATGCCTTCACTGTCATAGCCAGAAATGACCCAGGCTATTACAGAATCACGGAATGGTTAAGGTTGGAAGGGACCTCTAGAGATCATCTAGTCCAACCCCCTGCTCCAGCATATTGAATGATGGATGTATGAAAACCCATCCACATAGGCAGCAGTAATAATAAATACTTCACAATAAATATATGAGGGCATAGAAAGCAGCCCAAATTCCCACAAAGGCAAGACACACAGTGATGACAGGTTTGGGATTATGCTCTTCTAGTCAACCCCAGTTTTCCATATGAGCTGTCRCTGAAAGATGCTGCACAGCCACCTCTCCACCAAGGCAACCTGCTCCAGTGATCAAYTGGACTCAGTGCAACTTCCCCCCCATTGCCAAGGCCTTACAGCTCTGCCAAATGTAAGGTCCTGCAAGGCAAAGGGTTAAGCTCCCAGATCTGCAGGCAGGGCTGGAGCTACAGGAGAGCGCTCCATGAATCATACAAGTGTGTTGCATCTTCAGCGTGCTCTGATACTTAACACTCCGGGAGGGAGAAATCCATATCCCACTGTTAGCCTGCCTGCTGGAAGGGGACAGTGACCCTGGAAACGTCCATCTGGATTCTGGACTTCTGCCTGCCTTCCCTTTCCAGGCTTTCACTGCATTGCCATCAGGAACGTGGGGATGGATGATGGAGAGTCCCCCTTCCATGCACACCACAATTTCACCATCAGTTATCAGCACCAGCCCAGCTCAGACCAGTACAGGCAGTGCTTCTTTCTTAAGCACTGTGACCAGAACTGAAGGGCTCCAGGACAACCGCAGACTTCAAAACTAGACTCTCCTACTGCTGATCTTGCAGGTGCAACCAAACTGGGCCTGCTGCTGATCTAGGAAAGCTGCAGCATCTTAAAAGGAAAAACATCAGAATGAATCCTCTGATAATGTAATCAGATTCTGACAGTGTAAGACAGACACAGACACTTTTCAAAGGAGAACAGTTATCCAAAGGTCTCCAAGTTTTGGCCTTTGTTTCATCTGAGAAAACTTCCAATTCTGGAATGGCTCCTTTTCTTCAGAGATTACTGCTGAAGCTATAATAAAGACTTTTTTAGCTCTTAAATATATATGCAGACACCCACAAGCAGCACAGAATATGAAGTCTGCTAAGAGAATGCAAATGACATTTTGCTGGCTGCCTTGGAGAACTTGGCCTTTCCTGCCTCTGCTGGAAGAGCTCAGTTGTGATGGGAAGCAAAACTGATTTAGGCAGCAAGGACAGAGCATCTCAGCAGATTTTCTCACTTTTGAGGGCTTGAAAAACAGATGGGCTTTTATATGGATGTGTATATATATRTGTATATACACACACTCATATCCATATGGATGTATATGGATGGGGTAACCACATTTCCCCAGGTACAACACACTACAATTACTTTATCATCTTATCTCCACTCATTCATTTGGCGGTATGAGCTGAAGTCCCATCCTAGTTATGGAGATGCATTGAGGCAACATCTGCGGATCTGATGGAAAGCCCTGGCTTTGATTCAGATCTTTGCTTCTTATTTCCTAAGCAAGACTAGGACTAATGGCTTTGGAAGTCTTGGCAGGGGGACATTTCACAGACCACGTGATTATCCAGACTATGGAATGATTTAAAAGTTGCCTCGTGACACCAAGGAAACACCCTGCAGATCTCATCGCTCAGTTACTACACAAATCAAGCAGGAAGGATATAGGCTATGTTCATGTTCACCAGGGATTAATTCGCCTGCTCAGTGTCACAACAAGATAGTAAGTCTTTAAATAACCTTAATGACAGTCCTCAGTAAAGGAAATACAGGACTACAGAATGGAAGTGCATCCACAGTAGACTCCAAATCCTCATTCAGGCTCCTGACAGACTGTGTCTGAGAGAGACTGCACATTAATTGAAAGTACTGCTAGCAGCATGTCACACTACCTGTGATTTAGCTAATGGATTTTGTATGATTAAATCCATTACCAGAGGAGGGTGTGCATGCTAAGTCATCTGCTGCTTTGCAGCTGAGCTCTACAGTGCCCTTCTGCCTGCTGTTGGAAGTGCAAAGGTCTTTTTACTCRCTGYAATGCCCATTGCAAGAAGCATATTGCCATATAGCACACCTGTCCCCTGTTTTTAATGGTGACTATTTGTTCAAGTCTGTGAAGCCCTCAATGAATAATKTGGCTCGTGTCTTTTTTGAAGGTACATTTTGCTCTATAGCAACAGTTGTCCTGTGGCTTGAAATATTAAAAATCCCCATTTCTCAATGAGAACTTTTATTCTCAATGAGAAATAAAATGGTCAGTGGCCCATGTATTCAAGGGCTTTGGGAACTTCCTGCATCTTCATGTCCAAACCTCAAATTTCTAATGATATGCATGTTTTCAAACAACTTTTCTTAGGACATCTGCTCTTGTGGGGCAGTCTTATTTTTATATGGTGATTATTTGTGCTATGAGACACACCACAACCACAGAATAAAACCCTACTGTGCTTGGCACTCTGCAAAGGCAGAGCAAAACACAGCCCACGTTCCTTTGCATCTTCCAGGCCTCTCTTCCCAGCTGGATTTCACTGTGCGATAATGGGACAGTAAAAACTTTCTAATATAGGAGAACAGATGTAGGCATAGGCTACATCTTCCTTAGTGAAACCTGTCACTATATTCAAATGCAATAATGGAAGAACCATTATTGCAATGCTGCTCGATGGCTGAAAATCTGCATCCCCCCTAACAGTAAAACTTTGCCAAGGGAGAACGTGCCCTGTGCGTGGCTGGAAAAGCCAAGAAAAGGAGCAGGTATTTCTATATGCTAGCCAAATAAAATGGTGTAGACTCACCAGGATACAGCTGCTTTGTTGGTGCACTAAGCTGAGCATCTTTTGTTACTCGATAAGCAACATCTGCTTCTTTTGAAGATCTTCTGCTTGTGCAAAACCCTGTTGTTTTTGTGATACCGTCAGGTAAATTGTGAAAATCTAATACCTTCAAGAGATCTGCAGGCTCAGCTGTAAACAGAAGGAGAAAACAAGAATTAGCAGGCAACAGTATTGGCATTTGCTAAGATCCAAACCACTGGCCCATAGCACGCAAATCATTCATCACAATTTCAAAAATAACAGACAAAATATGTTTTCAATACCTCTGCAAATACAGTATTAACACCAGTGTCAAAGCTAGACCTCTGTATTACTGGTCAAAGACACTAATTCAATACAGAGAAGAACAGTTTATCAGCTGTCTGCACTRGGAGGGAAGGGAGGATATACTATCTTATTAGTACTAGCAGTTGTATATTTTCTGAATGTCTTCACCCAGTCCCCATCATTCAAGCACATTCTAAAGATTAAGCATTAGGCAGAAAATTCATGATCTCAGAGAAAGGCTTTAAATCAAGAGATTATCATCATCATACCAGTGCAAATATTTTAATTTCTTTTCTTCCATAAATTCACTGACCCTGAAACTGTTCTGAGGCAAATGCCTGGGTGAGCTTCCCTACAGGATTACACACTACACCCTGGAAAAGAACTGCCCATAAAGTCACAGCAGCTGGGATAGCAGAGGACACCTCAAAGCAAACTGCAGAAGCCCCTTGACCAACAAAGCAAAGGGCAGGGCTCCATTCCTGAGCAGCCCTTTCTCAACCACATCCCATTAGGTTTATACACCCATTAACATTTGGGAGCAATAGCCTTGTAATGCAGCCAGTGGAAGATCATTTATGCCCAGTGCTCCCTGCAATTATACGCTCTGCACACTGCATCTCATTAGCTTCCTAATGTGGCCTTGCTCACRTCAGGATGGACGCTGCCTCCAAAAGGGTAACCAGATCCGACTTCAAGCATTTAAAATGCATTCTGAATTTTGACCTAATACTCGCAGCAAAGCACTGTCAGAAAAGATGAACCATCCGGCTGAGTGAGAGCCCGGCAGTGCCCAGAGCAAACGTCTGCACGACAGCTTCATTTAGCCTTGTCTGGACAGTACATCACAGCTGCCCTCTTTTGCCACCCAATCCATTATTTTCCGGGAAGAGTGATGTTACTCAGACCCTCAAGGGCAGCCACATATTAGGTAGTCCAACGTTTGCAATGATAGACCCAACAAGCCTCCTGGGCTGCCTGGCCTTGAGCTTCTCGCCGTATTCTCAAGCTGTCTTGCCAAGGGTGCAACCATGTTTTCAACTCGCAGGAAACCAAGCAGCCCATCTATATAAAGTGTATGATCACAGAATGGTTGAGATGGAAGGGACCTCTAGAGATGATCCAGTCTAGTCTGCGAGATCCTTCGTGGCCAAAAAGCACTGATTTCCAAAAGGCAGCAAAATATAGGAGAAAATTAGGAAGGAAAAAAAAATGCATCTCCTGTTGGGATCAAGTACATGACAAAAAAACACCAGAAAAGAAGGATTTGCAAGAGGGGGTCCCCAGGACCCATGCCACACACGAGGGGCACTGGGGAAAGGCTACAGAATGCACTCGAACCCAAACACCCCAGCACCGAAGAGAAACACGTACAGAGCTTAAATCCAGCAGGCTGTGCTTACCAAGGCCTGCCTAACACTCGCATGGAAAAATCACGTATATTGTTAAACAGTATGAGAAGTTTCCAGCCCAGAAAATTTGGGCCCTTAATGGGAGATTACAAACACATGGCAAATGCAAGTCTCAGTGCAGAGAAACCAGCTGAGAAAGCCTGGCCCAAGCAGCACGCAGCTGTAACGTCTCCCCATCTCTCACTCCTTAGGCACAGCCTACAGATGACATATCTRCAGCTTAGATCTTCCTACCGCCTCTAACTGCGCTTTATTTTAYGCAAAAACTATCTGCACATAGAGCTCAGGCTGACTTAGAATAGCTAGAAACTTAGAATAGATCATTATGAAGTTATTACAATAAAACATCCTCCTTCCAGGCACCTCCCTGGGCTCCGAGAGATTCCTATCAGTGCCCAAACTTCAAGAGAGGAGGAARAAGGCAGAGAGGAAGGGGGAGGGGAGCGAATTCCAGACTCCTGACATCAGCCKGCTGCTTCCCAAGCAAAGGCTGTGGGGGGAATTTGGAGACTCGCCTGCAGGATCCAACAGAAACCATTCCCGGGGAGCGGCCAYGACAGCAGGGCTGAGCTCTGCGCAGAGCAGGATCAGAACATCCACGGGAGATGCTGAGCTCGGAGACCACGGCCACAAGGACCATGCAAACAGCAGCACCAGCCGTGGTCAACGTGCAGGAGTGTGAAGCAAGTTGAAGACTGCCGTGCTCTGACAGCCTACAGATTGTGCAACACATCAGGAGAGGAAGAAAGTTTAACCTAGGGAACGGGGCTGCAAGGCTGCAAACACAACCCCTGTTTTGCAGGAAGGTCCTTCAAAACTTCCAGGAGATCAAAGGAGARGCCAAGATCCAGCTTATGCCCTACAGACCCACTCAAATTGCACTTAGCCACAAAAAGCACTGGTCTGAGAGGACTTAAACAGCATGAAAGCCTTCAGCTAGCACCTGATGAAGCACAAAGATGAGCTTCATGCAGCAGGAGCTCGAATTTATGCTAACTAGCTTATTTTCTCCTGATTTTTCAGCCAAAACTAAACTCAGCAGCCTCCCCTATGAGTGGCTAATGATGATTTGGACAATGAAGGTCAGACTGGACTGACTAGAAAATGGGCCCTACAGGGTATTTCCTACCAGCTTGCACTGGGTTTGGCCTTCATCCTAGAACCGAATAAGCTGTTGCTTTCTTTGCTTGCTGCTCCATGAATAACATCACTATGCAACACTACACAGGAGCATTCTTCCCATCAGGATGCACACGGCTGCCCAGGAGACCCACAGCTCCATCCCTGCCCCGATGCACTGGGAGRAGGTGGCCGCGTATCCAGCATGCGGCAAGCGGTGGCCAACCGCAAAGAGCCAAGAGCAATGGGTGGGTGGAGAAAAAAAAAAAAACAAACAAACTAACAAACTAACAAACAAAAAAAACGGTGGAAACCCCAGATCATGCTCCTTGATGCCATAGACCTCTCTGCTTCACCTCTTCTGCACAGGAGGGTGGAAAGTGGAAGAAATGCTTGCAACTGTGGTGCGAGTCCAAGGATGCGATGGTCCTTGCTGCTGGCGGATGCAGAGTTACAGGGTCTCATGAAATAACCAGCCCTGATGCACCAGACCTCAGCCAGGAGGAACAAGAGCTGCCTTGCACCTGACACGGTCCCAAAAGCTCCTTGTGCCCAAAAGAGGCACTAGGAGACAGAGGGACCATTACTTGCGCTGCAAAGCAGATGAATAACTCACTGATGAGCTCCACGGTGGCAAAAGCAGCCATTAAGTCCCCAATTCCTCAGCACCTGACCAGAGCTTTAACCACAAGGTCAGCCTTCCTGTGTTAATCAGGCTCCTCATTAGCTAATTGCCTGCTAAAGCCTGGGGGAGAGCCAGACTTTAACTTAAGGTGTTTTAACTTAAGGTGTTAACTTTATAGCTCCACACTCCAGGCTGGCCAATAGCCACTCACCCTCCCATTTTCTTCCACATTGGGAAAGGTTAAAGCCTGTTTCCCTGCAGCCTCTGCTAAGCCCATTCCTCACCCAGCCACGGCAGAAGAGGACTCATAACAAGGGTGGGTTCAGTCTTCACCATTATTCCCTGCTCTATCCCAAAATGAAATTACCCACCTTGACCAGAAACCTGGATCTGATTCCATCCCATTGATCCAACTTCAGAGAGAGCCCAGGGTATGGCCACCATCACCACTAAAGCCATAGGGACACCAGCTCCAAACCCTCCAAGGCCAACTTTTATCCTGCCCCTTGGCTTCCCTGGCCCTGAGCAATTCCCATTGCCTTCCATGAGCACCAGAAATTCCCGAGCAAGGAGGAAACGGTGCTAACACAACTCATGCCCAGGYGATTCAAGCCTCTCCAAAGCCCCCTGGAGAAGCCCAGCACAAGTAGCAGCCAGAGATCATTCATCTAAACCACATTTGTGCCTGTAATCATCAATTCTAACACCTGGAGCAGAGCTTTTGAATCAAATCCAGAGGTTTTTTTCCTGCCGAGCGTCAGGATACATAAGTTGCCTATACATTACTGGCAGGATTCTGCGTTTCCAGTGTCTGAAAAATTACTAAGCTGTGAGTAACAAGCCTCTAAACAATTCTCTCCCCCATCATTTTTCTGGGCATTTAATTAAATGCCTATCCCCAAGGAAATCTGAAATATTTAAGCTTGCCACTGAGCTGAAGGCTGAAGTTATTGCAGCCTCGTGGCACTCGTGACAGACGTGTGTGACCTTCCTCCTTCCGCAGGTGATGATGTCTGGTGGCACTCGGGCTCCCCTGGCCTGCCAGGGCATGCTAAGCAGCCCCTATAATTTCTTATAAACTGCAAAATTTAAGTGCATTCTGATCACATACATAAGGTTTTAATAAATCCGCCATTAAAGCTGTGCCTGCTTTCAGAGGGTGTTCAGGAGGGTTTTTATAAACTTAAAGCAATTAGATGGCTGCAGGAGCGGAGACTTTCAGAAGCGGGAAGCAAAAGACCCAACRGAGTATCCTGGGACTCCGCATGCAAATCCAGCGGATCAGCAGTGCTGCTTTGCATCTCAAAACAGCCCATATTTAGCACAAGGGTAGACCAGGATTCAAGGGCAACCCAGACTCGAATCAATCTGCTGCTGGAGATGCCAGGTACCCAAGGCCACGTAACACAGCGCGTGTTTGGTAGGAGGAGAAAGGCTGTTTCTAGTACAGAGAGCACATCTGGAGAACCTACCCCAATTCCTAATGACTCACTGTTGCATTCATTTGATTGCTAGTGARAGGCTCTGGCTTGACATCCCTGGAGATCAAAGCCAACTCTTTGAGAACATTTGCAGTAATGAGAGCAGCAGACGAGCTCCCACACCATGCCCAGCTAATTCCTTCCTCTGCCGGGCTGGAAGGAGCATGCGCCTACCAGTCWGCATGGAAAGTCTACGTTCCCCGTCAAGCCGGTGTCCTCATTGCA